AGCAGGAATAGTAATAGTATCAGCCCTGTAACCCACTGCTATGGAGTGTAAAGTCCATGCAAAAGCTATGGACCATTTTGGTAGAACTTAAATATTTCTCAAAATACAGTTTGCAAGAGACTCCTGGCCACACAGGCATTTTGTAGGCTCTCTGCCAAAACTCTCTGTAGAGGCCAGTTTGAATGGTTCAATCCAGTATGTGATTTGCTTAATGAAAGACACTTCTCCAGAAGATTTTGGCAGATGCAATCAGTTCAATTGCCAGGCAGTATTCATGTGATTACAAATGTTACTGATCACATTAGATACTTAATAAATCTCTCCAAAAAGATCACAGCTACTGTGTGGCTGTGAAGAAATTAAAATTGTGATACAGATTACTGTGTTTGCCGTGCACTGGACTATTGATACAATTGGGAACAAATACCTTCCTTGGACTGCCAAGCAGTCAGTGACAACTATTAATTTCTATATAAAGCCATGACTGCTTGTTTGTAAATGTTTAGCTATGCATCATTGCAAAGTAGCTTTCTTATCGTGTTAGGGACACATTCTACCATAAATACATCAAAGAATTCGACTTCACCGACTTTCACAGATCTATGGCAATTCACATGTGCTGAGGGGTTGGCCTGAGAGTCCAGGGACAATTTTTGGCTTGAAATACCAGAAAAGTGAGATGCTATCCTCACATAAAACCCATGAGCGAGATTTTGGTGCTGTTTCTTCTGTTGACATTTCAGCAGATGCAATATCGCATACAGTACTGATAAAACACATCAAAGCAAAAATGATCTGAGCTGTACCTGTTTGGATAAAAATTGTTTTCCTTGCGGTGTGGCATAACTTGCACTCTGTAACTTCCAGTAATTTAACAAACAGCATTTTAAAAATGAATAAATGTCCATTGGCCAAATCCCAGTGCTCGTTTCAGTGTACTGCACGAATGCAATCACACAGGCCTCTCTTTTCCGCTCTCAGGAGGAGGGTTTCTGTCTGAAAAAAACCATGAAATTAAAGAACTGAATATATCACTTTAGAAGAGTATATAATTGATTAGACCTAATCCCTCCGCACAGCTGTAGTCAAGGTGCTTTGCTGAGTGAAAAATCACAGTTATTAGTGCTGGTTTTCATCCAGAAAAAGTGATGAAATAAGTATATTCAGAACTGAGGTGCATGGAGAGTATTTCTATAGTTTAAATGTTTTCATTTTCACAGTTAGCTTCTAGGGAGTAGGCTGTCAAAATTATTAGTGTCCTTTATAAATGCTGAGAAAAATTCCACTTTCAACTGCACTGTTTTTAATTCCTTCGCAGTGATTGATGGCTTCCTGTTGACGATGTCTTCAGTACTGTATAATTTAATTGCGCCAGATAGCACGTGCTGAGGAGCCAGTTTTGCTCTCAGTTACACTGCTGTTTCTCTAGAATAACTGAGTTCAATCCAGCTGTCAGCCTAACCTTGTTGTCTGAAACTCATAATCTTTCAGGGCAGATCTAGACTTGAGTTTGTGGCTCCTATTTTAACCTGAGTTAATTTACTGACAGTTGTCTTATTATCAACTCCATTTGGAGCCATGCCCCCAGAACTCCATCAAAAGCTTAAAAACCATTCTCTATATACATCATTGTCCTGGTTTTGGCTGGGATAGAGTTAATTTTCTTCCTAGCAGCTAGCATAGTGCTGTGTTTTGGGTTTAGCATGAGAACAATGTTGATAACACACTGATGTTTTAGTTGTGGTTAAGCAGTGTTTATACTAAGTCAAAGACTTTTCAGCTTCCCATGCTCTAC